ACGCTACATTAATAGACATTAGTAAGCAGTTTATAAATTATATTTATAAATATAAATTACAAATATTATTGACTTATAAGCACAATTATAATGTGCTTAATGATTGTTTTCATACTTGGTAAATAATGCAATACTTAATTTAGTAATGAAAAGTACGTCATTAACAAACCAGATATTTAAAAGTAGTTGGTGTTTTTTTTTTTAGATAATTCAGAATGTGCAAGTAAATGATTAATAAACTATTCAAAATAACATTGATAATTCTTATTATTCAGGCATATAATAAGTTGTTTAGTATGTTATTAAATGCTTTATGAACTCAACTTCATGCAGTTTTGTGATCTAATCTAAAGCGAGGGCTATTCATGCTTTATAAATCCATTATAAATGACAATATAAGGCTCAGTTACATTATATACAGGAAAAAAATGACTTAATTTCTACTTATTACAAGATGCTCAAATGAAACTGTATCAAATGAAAAGTAAATCATTGAAATCTTGTCTAAATATAAAATTGCTTTACACGTAATGTATTGTTAAATTATTATATTGTTGTTTTATCAAATGATGTTGTATTTCGACACTCCTGTTATTCAGCAATGTTTAAAATTTACAGTAATTGTATTTGTTTAGGTACGATTGCAAATACTTATTGTTTATTTGATACACAGTAGGTAGTGCTGTCACCTCACAGCAAGAAGGTCGCTGGTTCGAGCCCTGGCTGGGTCAGTTGGCATTTCTGTGTAAAGTTTGCATGTTCTCCCTGTGTTAGTGTGGGTTTCCTCCAGGTGCTCCTACATGCGGTACAGGTGAATTGGGTAGCCTAAAATAGTCCGTAGTAAATGAGCGTGAATGAGTGTGTATGTGTAAGGATGTGTCCCAGGGATGGGTTTCAGCTGGAGGGGCATCCGCTGCATAAAAACGTGCTGGATAAGTTGGTGGTTCAATCCGCTGTTGTGACCCCGGATTAATAAAGAGAGAAAACCAAAATGAAAATAAATGAATAAATGAATGATTCTGAGCCTTTAATTGTCATTTATAAGGGATTTATAAAGCATCAATATTCCTCACTTTAGATTAGATCACAAAACTGCATGAAGTTGAGTTAATAAAGCATTATTTAACATGCAGAAAAACGTATTATATGCAGGGCTCCAAACCGGTTCAAGGAACGGAAACGAAAAACAGAATCAAATGACATTTTTCAGGAACAGAAACGAAAACCGAAAAAAAAAGATCAACTTTAATCGTTCTGAACAGAAACGTTTACAGTTAAACAGTTAATAATGTTATTTTATCATTCTCTTTATTATATGAATTTGGGAGACAAAAAGCATTAATTTAAAGCATGTGAACAAATGCGACGGTGACGCTCGTTTTTATATAAACTATAAATGTCTGGCCGTGATGCGTATTTAGGCCTATGCCAGTCTATAAAAAGATAATGTAGCTTAAAACACTTTTAAAATTTTAGAGAACGTAATAAAGTTTGCACAACCAATGTTTGGTCTTAATAACCTGCCCATAATTAAACGTCATGTAGCCTACTTTTTGATTACTTGACCAGCGGATTTATGGCAGCACCAGCGGATAAACGAGATCTGAGCATAACAGGTATGACCAATATGCAAAGTCAAGAGAGTGCACGACTGTCTAAAAAAGGGTAACGTAGCCTAAACTGCGCACACTTGATTATGTAATGTGTGAAATCGTGGACGCATCTCAAAGAGCAAAGCATAACTTATTAAATGCCCATGCTTAATCGGTCATCGATAAGGTCTATCGGTTTTAAAGGGTTACCGACAATAAATCAATCGAGTAATTGTTAGCATCCCTAGTTTAATCAATGAATGTGTTAAATTTTATATTTATATTAAAGATGAATAAGGCAAGAATATGATAATGATACTTTTTAGATTTTTACACCTACAAAAATATCTTGTGGTAGTGCACTTGTTTAATAAAAATCTTTGTATATAGGTTATCTGTAAAAAACGCAATCAGAGCCAATGACATGTAGAAGTAGTGTTGCCTAAACGGCTATTAAATTTCTAATAAAATTAAAACCAAAGTATAAATCATTGCATTTTTCATTTGATAAAAATATACAGAAACGAAATAAAATCATAAGGATGCTAGTTTGTAATTTATGTTAATAATAATAAAATGACATGCTTAGACTATAAGCTTAACGGCTATACGCTGCCAATAGGCCACTAATAAATATTATTTTACTTTGTACTGGATTATAATGTATATTTTACTATAAAAACTAAATATAGCATGTCTTACTGTCATTTAAAACAAGTAATTCAAAATACACATCAGAACTGTAGACCTGCAGTGGGTAAACTAAATACAGGGGGTGTTGGTCAATCAATAGCCTACAGCACATAATTGAACTAATTATGATGCTAACTGTAATTTAGCTCTTAATATAGGCCTACGATATATTTTCTGGTGTTTAATTTTGCATGGGCAAATAGCAGTATAGCCTAAAGTAAATTTTTAAAAAAGATTATCATTTACCCTACCTGCAGCATAGTAAATAAATTATATAATAAATATTATATAATAAATATATAATAAATTTAAATAATAATTGCACTGTGCAGTGTACTAAATATTTTTATTAGGCTACATAACTGAAAAACTATTTCATAACAATTTTTATAATTTTTATTGCTATTTCATATTATACAACATCTAAATGTAGCGCCGGGCCTGCGCTCGATACCAAGCAGTGGGGCTGTGTGTAGCACCTTTAAACAGCGTGTCAATCAATAACCAAAAGCAAGTTCATATTATAAATATATCTTTAATGATACTTATTGAAAATTCATTTAATCTTACCCCTCGTATAGATTTTTTAGTTGCACCATTAAAAAAACAGAGCACTCTATAGCCCTGCAATACTTTGTAATTAAATAAAGTTTTGTTTTTTTTTTTCTAGAAAACTGTTTTCGGAATATTTTGTCTATTAAGGAACGCAAGAACAGAACCGAAAAAATATAAATTCTGCTCAGAGTGAACCGATTGGATTTTCTTTTCTTTTTTTTTTTTTTAGCCCTCATTATATGCCTGAATAGTAAATGTATAAATGTTCATTTATATAGTTTTTTAATCATTTATTTACTCATTCTTAATGATCTTAAAAAACACCAATTATTCTTAGACAGTTTGTAAATAATGCAATACTTCATTTAGTTATGAAAAATGAATTATAAACAAAGTATGAAAACATAAAAATTGAGCACATTACACATGCTTTTAAGTCAACAATAGAGCATCTAGCTGTGTTTATAAACTGCTTACTAATAATGTAGAGTTAATGCTTAACAAATGATGTCTATTTGGAGTTTTGGTTGCTTGGTTATATGATGAAGGTCTCTGTGCATTTGTGGGGTTCAGTTTTTTTCAAATAGTTACAATACGACAGAAACAGAAATAGAACATACTGGTGGGTTTTAAGAGTTTACCCAAAAATGTACATTATATTATTAATTACCCTCATCTCACTCTAACCCCCTGAGACCTTCATTCATCTTCAGACTCAAAGGAAGATAACTTAGATGAAGTGCAAGAACTCCTCATCCTCCATAGACAGCAAGGGATTGAAACAATATAAAGGAGAGAAATTAATAACAGAATCTTCATTTTGGGGTGAACTAACCGTTTAATATTGTTTGCTATTGCACTTAACTAAATGTGTATGCAGACATGGAAGAGTTATGTGGAAGCTTGTTATACCCAATGAGAACTGCTTTTAGACATGCAAGAGAGTTTCATGGATTTTGTGTTTACTGTTTTTTTGTGTTTAAAGGTTTTGTGGAAATTATTTATAATAAATATAACATTTATTAAATCTATTCTGGACCATTTCCTGATTGGATCTTGAGGTTCCTTCTGTATTCAAATTACATTTTTTATAAACTGACCTGCTCTTCAAATGAAAATTCTAAAGCAGTTTACTGTCAAATTACTTGACTGAGGTTTAAAATTTAATATTAGTAAGGGTGCTGATCTGATCCCCACGTTGCCTAAAAACCGGTAATGTGTGTGTAGACCTGGTCCTTACTTTGACTAAAAAACGGTAATGTGTGTGTAGACCTGGTCCTTACTTTGACTCAATACCGGTAATGTGTGTGTAGACCTGGTCCTTACCTTGACTCAATACCGGTAATGTGTGTGTAGACCTGGTCCTTACTTTGACTCAATACCGGTAATGTGTGTGTAGACCTGGTCCTTACTTTGACTCAATACCAGTAATGTGTGTGTAGATCTGGTCCTTACTTTGACTCAATACCAGTAATGTGTGTGTAGATCTGGTCCTTACTTTGACTCAATACCGGTAATGTGTGTGTAGACCTGGTCCTTACTTTGACTCAATACCAGTAATATGTGTGTAGATCTGGTCCCTACTTTGACTCAATACCGGTAATGTGTGTGTAGACCTGGTCCTTACTTTGACTCAATACCGGTAGTGTGTGTGTAGACCTGGTCCCTACTTTGACTCAATACTGGTAATGTGTATCTGGAACTGGTCCTTACTTTGTCTCAAAACCAGTAAAGTGTGTGTAGAATTGGTCCCCACTTTGTCTAAAAATCGGTTGTGTATGTGGCGGACCCCACTTCTACACAAAACCTGAAATGTCCCCACAAGTGACCACTGTGTCAGGTCTAAAAAAAAATTTGCGGAATATCCAAAATCTAAAGTGATTTTATGAAATAGTTTGTGTTTTTGTGTGGCAAACAATTTTTTTATGTCTCTAACATCATCAGAAAGGGCGGTCCCCATTACGTAACCACCGTGACAGGTGACCCCCACAATGCACAAAAACAAGTATGTGTGTGTGTGTGTGTGTTTGTGTGTATTGTTGTTTGCTTTACACTGTGTATTGATATTCTGCACTACATGTCATTATGACGCCTCAAATGCAAACACTGCAGTTCAATACAGAGCAGCACAGTGGGGTGAATTAATCATTTGTTCAATACCTTCAACAGCTGCTCCAGTGAGAGGAGTGAAGAATCACCTGTTTGAGAAGATTTGGCTGATAATCCAGCTTGATGTCTGCAAAACAAAACAAAGGAGCTTGTGTGACTAAAACACCACAGACAGACTCAAACTCTTGATATAACATCTATCAGAGGACGATTGCGCTCATTTCACATGACTTACCCAACAAATCTTCTGTTGGAGGACTTCAGTCCAGCCGCAGGGACCCGTCTGATGATGACCGACATGTTTTTGGGGATGAGAGCATCATCATCTGTGTATTCTGACAGCAAAATAAAGTTTGAATATAGTAATAATCATTTACCATGGTATACTTTGAGTGCCATTAGCATTTTAAAACACTCAAAACATCACTATATGTCACCATCAGAGTCATGATAATAAATTACAGCTTCTACAAGTCTGTCTGATAACACATCTAATGTTAGTGTAGTATAGTTTAAGTGGCTTTTCCTCATCTCACCTTCATCAGTTTGGGCTTTGCTGATCTGCAGCTGGCAGAACTTCAGCCTCTCGCGCCTCATGATCTGCCGCTTCAGCTCTCCCACAGTGATGTTGAGGCCCTCAAACTGGAGCGAGTCGTTAGTGAGTCGACTCTGAAACCTGTAATGAACACAAGACATACTGAATACAAACCACAGTGTGATAACAAGGGTCAAACCTGAATGATGGGAGAAGCAGACGATCAATCGATGTATCCAACAATCAATAATATCAATAATCTGGGAATCAGTAGCCACGAAGGACGCCGAGATCAGATGCCAATGACAGAGCGGAGTTCAAAACAACACAAAAATAACCGTTGCCATGGATGCTGACGATCACGTGACGAGGCGCTAAAAACTTCCGCGTTATTTTCTCATTAATAATAGTAAAATCATTACTATGATAATAATAAAATAAACAGCAGAACAGTTGGCCATCTCTGAATAATACACAGTGGCGTTTCCTTACACGAATGATTTAGGACTCTGTATAGAGTCGGGCGAGTCACTGAATCAGTGATTCGTGGCTGAATGAATCACTTAAAGCTTCACTCGATTAAAGCGGTCTCTTGCTGCCACCTAATGGCGATTTGTTTTTCCGTTTTAAAGTAATTTAACACTTTTTAAAAACACCTTTAAATGTATTTTCTACAAATGTTCATCTCTGTATGTTAAAATGAATTAAAACTCTCTAAGCTCATCATTTATTTGTTTGCCCTTGATCTTCATTATGTGTTACAGTTTTTTTCCATTTGTTTTGCCACAAATTTCAGAACCCTGATGTCAATTAAAAAAACTCTAGACACAAAATCCTAAACAGTCACTACTTTTAACACTCTCCAGTGTTCTGCATACAGCATTCATTCCCTTAAAGAAGTCTTGCATTTGTAGGATCATTGAGTCACATAATCCTTTTATAATACAAATACTACAGGAACACAACTTTAGATCACCAGCAGCACACAAGATGTACATCGCTTCAATAAACAATCATTAACAATCATTAAATATTGTTGTTTAAAATAAATGATACAGGTTTTATTATGGTCTATAAGTGTAAAGGGAAACAGTGCAGACAGTGGATATACTGAACTAGTTTTATTCATTCCATCATAATGTAGGTTTACTGTATTTTTTTTTTTCTCACTTCACGTCCCCATATAGAAAGCTGATAAATGGCATGATATATGGTCCCATCTGCAAATTACATTATTATAAAATGTCATAATAGTCAATAATTTGTCAAAATAGTGAAAAAATCATTGTTTATATTTTTTTCAACCATATCATATATATATTTGTAGGGGTAAAATATCTAACATAATAGATCATATATATACGTAACATATATGTACATATTTGTAATTCTAATATTTTAACAAATGGCAATATTTTGACATGTATAACATGTTTTATATATGTAAAATTCATATGAACTATTATGTCACATATGTAATTTGCATATATTTCTATATATCAGATTTCTATTTTGGGATTTTGTGTTACCATCAGTCTGGTCTTGTGGATTTGGTCACGGGTTCTCCTCTACATTTCAGTGGTATTTTCATTACTCAGAAATCTTGGAAAGAACCTTCTGTCAATGTAAATCCAGGCCTGACATTGGTCTGCTGTGATTGGGCTTTCTTACAGTGATGTCAAATATATAAACATTGTCTGTAAAAGTGGTACACAGAACAAAGAAACCATAAATATGGACTAAGGATAAATAAAGATGTCATCTATAGATAATGTAGTTCAGTTGGGTCATCTTCTGTGGTAACTGATGTCATTTGATCTATCGTGATTATTTCATCATCTAAACATGTAATATTGTACATCAGTTTCCCCACATCAACAATAATGCAGCAGTTATTCATCATTTGGAGTGCTTGTATCAGTTGATAATAACATCATGTGAAGTAAATGAATACATGGTTATTTCAATTGTAATGTTTGAGTTGCATTTTGAAATGGGATCAATTTGAAGTTTAATTGTGTTATATTGAAAAGGTGATCTTAGTTCAATGAATAAAGTATGTTTGACTTGTGTGTGTTGTATCCAAGCATTTGAAAAAAGAGTTAAAAGTTTTGCAAAAATGTACAATTTTGGCAAAGGTTGTAAATTTTGTGTCTAGACTTTTGAAAATTGACACCAAAGTTCTGAAATTTGTGGCAAAACAATTGTAAAAACCTGTAATAAAAAAAGAGAAAGGATAAATCTTATAGATGATGAGCACAAATCTGAAAGCATCTGTGGATCTGTCACAATCCACTCATTTATTATCATTACTGTGGGTTTCTTCATCACAAAAATAAGCCCATGTAAGAATTGAAATATTACAAATATTTTTGATGTCTTTGACAATTCAAAACATGAGCTGACAACAGAGACTGTTGACCACAACCCAGCAGGTGGGAATGCGGGAAAAACCAATTCCTGCTGCATTTGCATCTGAGTCTGCTGAAACTCGGCTTCAACCACCCCAACTCACACATATGGTCATTTCAATGTTTGAATGTTCCAGATTAACCTAAGTGACTTTATCTATCATGTTTGATATCATTTGAAATGTCTCAGTGCGATTGGTACAATGGTCTCATTCTCTCAGAAATAGGCATAATCAAAACAATAAATATATAACTTCAGGCATCTTTTGAACCACTGTGAAGGGTGTGACTTTTCCACAGGCAGCACTAAATGCAAGTGCCTTTTGTTATGCACACACCCCTGTCCTTGAGGGAATTCTTGGATTACTTAAGGTAAGGTTTAAGAAAGGCTCAGCGCAATTCTGCTTACCCGGATCAGCCCGTAACATGGAGCTTATGCTCCATGTTATGTATATTTTAAAGTCAGGAACGCATCTTTTAATCTTGGATTTATCTTTGGTAACTTGATGTATTTATTGATCTTTTATGAATTGACTGATTGAATTGGCATAATACACATTTACCTGACTAATAAATTGTTATGTTTTGAATTATTCAAACAGTCCTTGTGTTATTATCACTGATAAATGTTGTTGTCCATAGCACTACAAGCCACTGTACAGGTTAGTAACGGACTAAAACATGTTAGACGGAGCAGTGTGGCACGCTATACAATGTTGCTAGAGATCCGACTAACATATTGGCATTAATTCAAGTATACTTAGACTGTAAAAGGCCAACTATGAGTTTTCTATTTAGAACAACAAAATATTGTTGAAACTAATCTAAATGTGGGTATTTAGGCCTTCATCTACAAACTTATAATCCTGTGCGATTATTATTAAAATACTTTGTCTTGATTAAGTAAATAACAGATCTATGGGGACCACATAAAAAATCTCCTAAATTGAGTAAGTATAGGGTTCTGCCACTTTAGGAGAGTGGTTAATCGCCTCTGTTTAATGACCAAGACTGACGAGCTTGTATTAAGAGATTGTATACCCGGCCGGTGCAAGACTCGAGATGCTATAGGAATCTGAGTAAATGAGAATAAGGTATAATAACAAATCAAAAGAATATTCAATCATAATCTAAAATAATGTGAAAGGAAACAAAATAATCTTATCAATGTTTTATAATTGGAGTCAGATAAAACGAGGATAAATATATTAATATTCTAAACCACCTCATACTAAAATTGGAGTCAGATATGAGTTAAGTTTAATATAAATCAACATTGTGCACTGGAAAGACCGAACATGCAGTGAACCTTCATCCACCATTGGATACCGTCATTGGACCAACTGGGTGGACCCTACACCCATATACAAATAAATAAAACACCACAAGCAGATTTAAAACGTCAGAATCTGCAGAACAAGGATCAGCACTGACCTTTCCAAGAAGAAGAGCGACTGCAGCAGGCTTGAACTGAAAGGCTGATTCATATTATTGAGTGTTTCTAATTCAAAAACTCTTTTGTTTAGGGTTAGTGATTCAGATCTCATTTAATGTTTACAGAATAATGAAAAATCATTTACAGACCTAATTTGCATCAATGAATTAAAACAAAACAAGAAGACTGCAATGAATAATCCCTGACATAAGGATCATTTCTAATCATTTATCAGATTTACCATTGTTTTAATTATTACGAAAAATCAGTGAGATGCAAATTTTACTCATGTAAAAAAAATATTACAGACAATGGATTATCAAGTTATGAATTCCAATAGTGAAGGTGGCGAGGCAGTGGCGCAGTTTCTGTGTGGAGTTTGCATTTTCCCCCTGCCTTCACGTGGGTTTCCTCCGGGTGCTCCGGTTTCCCCCACAGTCCAAAGACATGCGGTACAGGTGAATTGGGTAGACTAAATTGTCCGTAGTGTATGAGTGTGTGTGTGTGTGTGTGTGTGTGTGTGTGTGTGTGTGTGTGTGTGTGTGTGTGTGTGTGTGTGTGTGTGTGTGTGTGTGTGTGTGTGTGTGTGGATGTTTCCCAAAGATGTGTTGCTGCTGGAAGGGCATCCGCTGCGTAAAAACTTGCTGGATAATAGTGAACTATAATGCTATTGTAAGTGAATGATTATTAGCACAGGTTATTAAAGCATTAGTTCACTTCTATAAAAGTGAGTTTTCCTCCACTAGAGGTCGCTGTAATGATCAGATTCTCCACAGCTCTGATTCTCTCATCTCTCGCCGGGTTCAGTGGCGCGCGCCTGTAATCCAAGCTACTGGGAGGCTGAGGCTGCGGATCGCTTGAGCTCAGGGCTTCTGGGCTGCAGTGGATTATGTTGATCGGGTGTCCGCGTTAAGTTCGGTATCGATATGGTTCTCCTGGGGGAGCTCGGGACCACCAGGTCGTTTAAGGAGGGGTGAACCAGCCCAGGTCGGAGACGGAGCAGGTCAAATCCCCCGTGCTGATCAGTAGTGGGATCGCGCCTGTGAATAGACACTGCAGTGCAGCCTGAGCGACACAGAGAGACGCAGACTTTCACACTAGTTTTTTTTTTTACTCTGATATATCTTTCTAACAGTTAAAAAAAGAAGCAATAAAGGTTTTGAGATGAATGACATGGCTGTGTGTTAATAATTAGAAATAACTAAAAGTTTAGTTTTTTCGAGTGATGGGTTGCAGCTGGAAGGGCATCTGCTAAACACGTGCTGGATAAGATGGGGGTTCATTCCGCTGTGGTGAACCAATGAGACTAATCTGAAAAGAAAATGAATGAATGAATAAAAGTTTATTTGTAGATTAGACATTTTATTGCAGAAATACAGAAGTTATCTCAATTTCATGAGTGTATTTTGAAAAGATGATGTTTTAGACAGAAATATGTTTTGCTGTGGTTACTAACTCATAAGTGTGGTCTATCAATATCGGGTGGTATTTTAAAAAATTATAGAAGAATTTCACTTTAGTTCTCCCCGTGTTGGTGTGGGTTTTCACTGGTTGGTCTGGTTTACCCCACAAGTCCAAAGACATGCGGTATAGGTGAATTGGGTAAGCTAAATTGTCTGTTGTGTATGGGTGTTTTCCAGTAATGGGTTGCAACATGGGAGGG